CCGCCAGGGCGTGCCGATCTTTGAGTTAGACATGGATCAGATAGGTGCTGCTTTGCATGCTTTGTATGCTGACGCTTCTAGTGTTGATGGATCTTACTACCATGTGTACTCTAGTTTAGGTGTTTCACCCTTGTGTAGCTTAGCTTCCCCTGCTGCGACAGGCGTAGGACTGCCTAGGTTGCCTAGTCTAGTCGCTGCACCGGCTCCGTCCGCGGCCTCCGCCACTGCGTCGCTGTCCTTCACTCTTGACTCTGGTGCTTCTGCCTGCTTCTTCCGCGACCGTTCCACGCTCACGCCGCTTGCTGCACCTGCTGTTGTCTCTCTCGCTGACCCCTCTGCGGGTCCGGTCGTCGCGCGCAGTTCTACGTCCCTTCCCTGTCCGGCAGTTCCCTCGGGCTCCCTTACTGGCCTCCACGTTCCCTCGTTCTCCAGGAACCTGGTTGGTGTCGGCTGTCTCCAGGACCTCGGCGTCACCACCACGTTCCCCGGGCACGAGCGGTTCGCTGTCTGTTCTGAGGCTGTCTCCGGTTCCCCCCTTGCGACGTTCCCCCGGGACCCGGTGTCCGGTCTGTTTACCCTACACACCGCTTCCCCCCCGGTTGGTGCGTCCTCCCAGGTCGCTGCAGCTTGCTCGTGTCGGTCCCTCACTCACCCCTCCCTTCTCTGGCACCACCGCTTAGGTCACCCTGCTCTCCCGCGTCTGCGTCACATGTCCCAGCACGGTCTTGTCTTAGGTCTCCCCGCGTCGCTCCCTGCCCTTCCTCCCTCGACTGCGCCACCGTGCACGCCTTGCGTCGAGGGTCGGCTCCGCCGTGCTCCTCACTCCTCCTCGCTGCGTCCTGCTACTGCCCCCCTTCAGACCCTGCACTTGGACGTTTGGGGCCCTGCCCCCGTCCCCGGACCGCGCGGTGAGCGCTACTTCCTTGTGCTCGTTGACGACTACACGCGCTACACCACGGTGTTTCCCCTGGAGCGGAAGGCCGACGTGCCCGACGTTCTTCTCCCGTGGGTTGTAGCTGCGCGTCTCCACCGCGGTCTCCCCGTGTTGTGTCTCCACTCCGACCGTGGCGGCGAGTTCGCCTCTGGTCGGCTTGGACAGTTCTGTCGTGCGGAGGGCATCACCCAGTCGTACACGTTGCCGGACTCGCCACAGCAGAATGGGGTTGCTGAGCGCCGCATCGGCTTGGTCATGGAGGTCGCCCGTACCTCCATGATCCATGCCGATGCCCCCCATTTTCTGTGGCCGTTCGCTGTTCGCTACGCGGCTCACCAGCTTAACCTGTGGCCACGCTCCCAGCGGCCGCAGGTTTCGCCGACCCTCCTTTGGACCGGGTCCCCCGGTGACGCGTCTGCGTTCCACGTCTGGGGCTGCCTTGCTCACGTTCGTGCCTCTGGCACGGACAAGCTCACTGCCCGCACTGTCCCCTGTGTCTTCCTCGGTTTCCCCCTGGACTCGTCTGACTGGCTTTTCTACCACCCGCCGTCTCACCGCTTCCTCCACTCTCGTGACGTCACCTTTGACGAGTCCGTCTCCTTCTACCGCCGCTTCCCTCACCGAGGTCTCCCAGTTGCCCCCCCCCTTTTCCTTGCTCCCTCTCCCCCGGTAGCCCCTACCCCTCTCCCGCCTCGTCCTGCCCCGTCTGGTGTCTCCCACGTCACTCCCCTCCCGTCGGTTGTCCCCGTTGAGGAGTCTGCTGACTCTGGTGGTACCCCCGGTCCGTCCTTGCCGCGTCCCCCTTCCCCAGTGCCTCCGCCCCCACTGTCGCAGTCGCCGACCCCGCTGCCGCCGCCGTCGCCGTCGCCGCCGCAGCCGTCGCCGCTGTCGCCGCCACTGCCGCCGCTGCTCTCGGCCCCTGGGGGTGCTGGTGTGGAGGAGGGTGTTCGTCCTGCGGCTTCTGGGGGTGCCGCTGGTGTTGGAGGGGGTTCTCGCTCTTGGGGTGTTGGTTCTGGGGGTGCTGCTGTTGAGTGTTCTGCCGACGGTCGTTCTGCCTCTGCTGGTCCGAGAGTTCCGGCCCAGCCGTCGTCGCCGCCACAGCAGCCGTCGCCGCCGGTTTCCGCTCTCCGCCTGCTCGGCCTTCCCTCCCCGGACCGCGCGCCGGTGTCTCCCCCACCGCCTCCTGACCTCCCTGTCTACGGTCCTGTGTTCCCGCCGCCAGACTCGTCTCCGGCCCGTCTTCCTCCTCGTTCCCCTCCTGTGTCTCCTCCGCTGTCCCCTGACCCTACCCCTCCGTCTCACGTTTGGGCTCGCCGTCCCTCCCGTGCTCGTCCCGTCTCTCCTGTCCTGCCCACCCACCCTATGTTGCTCCGTTCCCACTCGTCTCGTCCTCCCCTCCTCCCGTCCCCTCCTCCCTCGTCCCTTGCTGTTGCACCTCCTCCGTTCTCTGACTACCTCCGTGCTGCTCGTCCCCTTGTCCCTCGGGTCCTTGCCTCTCTTGTTACCGACCCTGCTGTTCCTGTCTCGCGCCTTGACGCGCTTGTCGCTGCTGTCGCTGACTTCGCTTCTACCCGCCGCCTTGACTACGCTACCGCTCTGGTCTCTGACCCTGCCCGTCCTCTGTCCGTCGGGGGTGCTCCTGCCCTTGGCAGTGACGTCCTAGAGGACAGGCAGTACGAGCTGGCTTTCCTTTCCGAGGCTGCTCCCCATCTCTGCTCCATGCTGTTAGTCCCTGAGGGTGACCCAGACGCCTTCGACATCCCGACCCCTCGCACCTACGCTGAGGCCACCTCGGGACCTTGGGCCTCTCAGTGGATAGCTGCCATGGAGCAGGAGATGGCATCTTGGAGATCCACCGGCACTTACGTCGACGCAGTTCCCCCGCCTGGGGTGAACGTAGTCGATGGTCGGTGGCTCTTCAAGGTGAAGCGCCCCCCTGGAGAGCCGCCTGTCTTCAAGGCGCGCTACGTGGCCAGAGGTTTCAGTCAGCGCGAGGGGGTTGACTTCTTCCAGACCTTCGCCCCGACCCCGAAGATGACCACTCTTCGGGCGCTGCTACACGTAGCAGCACAGCGTGACTACGAGCTTCACTCTCTCGACTTCTCTACTGCCTTTCTTCAGGGCAGCCTACACGAGCAGGTCTACCTGCGCCGACCACAGGGCTTCACTGGTACCTTCCCTCCTGGGACCCAGTGGCTTCTCAGGCGCCCGGTCTACGGCCTGCGTCAGGCTCCCCGCGAGTGGCACGACACGCTACGTGCCACGTTAGCAGACCTGCAGTTCTTTCCGTCCTCTGCTGACCCTTCACTGTTTGTGCGTTCCGGCCAGACTCCGTTCTACATCCTTGTCTACGTAGACGACCTGGTCTTCGCTACTCCTGACAGGGACGCACTGGCCTCTGTGAAGGCTGAGCTGCTGAAGAGACACACCTGCACTGACCTTGGAGAGCTGCGTCGCTATCTTGGCCTGCAGATCTCTAGGGACAGAGCAGCACGCACCATCACTCTGACCCAGTCACACTTGGTGCGTCAGGTCCTTCAGAGGTTCGGTCTTCAGTTCTCCTCCGCACAGCCCACACCTCTACCCGTAGACCATGGGCTCTCTGCTCCCGTTCCTGAGGAGCCAGTAGAGCCCAGTGGCCCCTACGCAGAGCTGGTGGGTTGCCTCATGTACCTGATGACTTGCACTCGCCCAGATCTCGCATACCCTCTCAGCATCCTGGCTCGCTTTGTGGCTACAGGCAGACACCGACCTCAGCACTGGTCTGCCGCTAAGAGGGTTTTGCGTTATCTTGCTAGTACATCAGGCATGGGGTTAGTGCTAGGAGGACGCAGGCCAGTGGTCCTTACTGGGCACACAGACGCTTCTTGGGCAGACGACGCTGAGACGCTCAGGTCGTCGCAGGGCTACTGTTTCAGCCTTGGTTCGGGTGCTATCTCTTGGAGATCCACTCGCTCGTCGTCTGTGGCTCAGTCTAGCTGTGAGGCTGAGATCTACGCTGGTGCCATGGCGGCACAGGAGCTCCGCTGGCTGACCTTCTTGCTCACAGACTTAGGTGAGCGGCCTAGCTCTGCCCCGGTCCTGTACGCTGACAACAGGGCCATGATACTCCTGTGTCAGGAGCCTCGGCTTGAGGGCAGAGCGAAGCATATCCAGCTGCGGTACTTCCTCCTGCGCGAGCTACAGCAGCGCCGCCAGGCCCGCGTAGTTCACTTGGCCTCAGGTGCCAACACAGCTGATATCTTTACTAAGGCGCTTGCGCCTAAAGATCATCAGCGGCACTGTGTACAGCTTGGTCTTGTTCCTATAGCTGCTCCCCTGTTAGGATCCTGATTGTGTACTCTCTATTATATATGCTTGTCAGACTGGCCTTGTGGCCTTACCTCCAGTGGCTGGACTAGTAGTGCCACCCTGGCTTGCTTCAGTTTTGGTTGTATTCTTGCTGACTGGTCTCCAGACCCCTGCCTCAGTGGTTGGACTAGTAGTGCCGCCCTGAGCTGTTTGCTTCTTGTTTAGTTTCACCCCTTGTCTAGCCTAGGGGGTGTGTCAACTTATACATATTATCTATGTAGAAGTTATAGGCTAGACTGAGGTATGCTTCTAGTGAGTACAACCAACTAGTATTTGTTCTAGGTTTCCACCTCTAGTAAATCATTCGTTTCTACGTTAACAGATTGTTGGATTGCCACGATCATTGCTTCTGATCACGACCCAGATTTGCTCTCGAGGTGATAATAAGCAGGGCGACTAAGGCAGTGAAAGATAACAAGCTCTATTGTATATTCGTAATTCCATTGTAACCCTATCGACTGTAACCAGGATCATGTGTGGTCCGGAATACCCAGGGTTCAGAATGTCAAATCAGAGTCGGCTTGCTTTGGAGAGTATTTCGAAATCTTGGAAGTGATGCGCTTCAGGAGAAACATCAAACACAATTTGGCTGGTCTCTCATTGATTACAACGAGAATATCCGCGAGTGTCGGTGCCTCGATTGTGACATAGTCCACCTCGCTGTGTCCTGTTGTCCTTATTTACCTGAAACCGAGTTATTTGTGGTGCATAACAACCGCCAGGCTTCACAACGGAAACCGAGCCTAGCTTGCAGGCACCTCACAGTTCAGTAGCTGAATCCGTTCCCGTCGCCAGCGAGCAACCCGAGCAGGAGCCGGCGGAAGGCGTGTTGCCGGACAGCCCGCCGCTGCGAGGAGCGCACGCAGAGACCGCAGGCGCAGTAGGCGCGGAAACCTTACCCGCAGTAGTCGCGGAAGCCTTACCCGCAGTAGGCGCGGAAACCTTATCCGCAGTAGGTGTGGAAATTGCGGAAGACCTGTTAAACACGGCAGCGGCAGACAGCGCTTTCGGGAGGACTGCCTTTCAGGCCAGCCGAGCCTTGATACGAGGTGCCGCTGCTGAAGCGGCCGCCGGAGGGAGTGGTTCAGGCGGTGGGGAAGAAGTCTCTGCAGTGGCAGGAGCAGTGGCGGCAGGAGCAGCGGCAGGAGGGTCCATGACGGATGGCCGTTCAGATGATGCAGAATTGCCCTCATCGGCAGGAGAACCGGCAGCGCCCGCCCTGGCTGCTCCTGCTGCTCTCGCTTCAACTGCTGCTGCCACTGCTTCACCGGAAGGAGGGGTCGCTCTAAGCAGTGTAGAGCGAACTGGAGGAGGGAGAGGGGGTGAGGGAGGGGACAGACGAACAGACAGTATGTCCGAAGCTGGAAAGGAGGCTCGGGCCGTGAGAGCCGCCGATGCAGCGATCAACGGTGAGGATCAGCCGCCGTTCCTCCCGGGCCTCCCGGACGATCTGGCTTGGGCCATTCTTCTGCGCGTGCCTCGGAGCTGCCTGCTGCTCCTCAGGGCCGTCTGCCGGCGCTGGCATGACAGCCTCGGGTCGAGCCTCTACTTCCAGGCTCGGAAGAGGCTCGGGCTTGCCGAACCTTGGCTCTATGCATCCATCAGTGATTGGCAGGTGAGCGTGGGGGCAAATAGGTTCTATTCCGATCATATGACAGGAGTTGTGCAGACGGCCTTTTGTTCCTTCCAAAGCCCATGCCAAAGCGGATGCCAAAGCGGATGCCAAAGCGGATGCCAAAGCGGATGCCAAAGCGGATGCCAAAGCGGATGCCAAAGTGGATGCCAAAGCGGATGCCAAAGTGGATGCCAAAGCGGATGCCTACCCCCTTTCCTCGTGCTCAACCTGCCAGGGCCACAACGCGTGTGTGGCGTTTGACCATCCCCTTCATCACCCCCCCCCTCCCCTCCCCCAGGGCCACAACGCATGCATGGCGTTCGACCCCAGCAGCAGCGCGTGGCACACCCTGCCGCCCATCCCTGGCGCGCAGCATCGGTCCGTGCTCACGCTGCAGTTTGCCGCGGTGAAGGGGCGGCTGCTGGTGGCGGGCGTGGTGGAGCGGGAGGACCCGCTGGACTCTGCGTCTGGCGTGTTCATCTATGACCCATCGCGGTGTGCGCGTGCGGCTTATACGCGAGGGGGAGAGCGAGAGGCAGTGTGGTGGAGAGAGAGGGGGAGGGAGTGTGGTGGACCGTGGATAGAGAGGAAGGGAGTGTGGTGGACCGTGGATAGAGAAGAAGGGAGTGTGGTGGGACCGTGGATAGAGAGGAAGAGAGTGTGGTGGACCGTGGATAGAGAGGAAGGGAGTGTGGTGGACCATGGATAGAGAGGAAGGGAGTGTGGTGGACCATGGATAGAGAGGAAGGGAGTGTGGTGGAGAGGAAGGATCCGTTTGACAGCGGCAGTGCTGGGTTCATCTATTACCCCTCTATGACCCCTGGGTTCATCTATGACCCCTGGGTTCATCTATGACCCCTCAGCATCTCCCGATATGTATGGCTTGAATTTGCCCCCCCCCCCCCCAACCACTGCCGGCTCGCACACACGCACATATACCTCTGGCGTGCTCACTCTGTGTCTACTCTCTCTCTTTCTCTCCCCCTCCTCCCTCCCCTCCTGCTCCCACCCACCCCTCGTCATATCCACCTGCCCCACGTACCACCTGCAGGAACGAGTGGAAGCGAGCAGCCGCCATCGGCACGGGGAGGTGGTTCTGCATGTTTGGCGTGGTGCGGGACCGGCTGTACGTGGCGGGGGGTATCGGCACGTCTAACAGCCTGGCACTGGTGGGATCGGTGGAGGCGTATGACATGGACAGGGACGCGTGGGAGCAGGTGAGGAATGGGAGCAGGTGAGGAATGGGAGCAGGTGAGGAATGGGAGCAGGTGAGGAATGGGAGCAGGTGAGGAATGGGAGCAGGTGAGGAATGGGCGCACGCAGGTTAGAGGGCACGGGGTGCGGGGTGTGGTGAGGGGGCATGGGGTGCAGGGTGTGGTGAGGGGATATGGGGTGCGGGGTGTGACGAGGGGCATGGGGTGTGGTGCGGGTATGCAGTATGTGGCGTGGGGCATTGGAGGGCACTCTCAACAGCCTGGCTCGCCCATGGAATCGGCTGCCCAGCCAGCTGCCAGGCTGTCGTCAATGGCATTCATAGGATGTGCATTGTCGCCCCTGCCCTTCCCCATTCTTCCTCCTCCCTCCCTTCGCTGTTCCTTCCTGCTCCCTAGCAGGTCACCACGTCATCCCGTGCTGAGCTCATGACGTTACCCGGTTACCAGACGGTGCTGAGCGGGTGCCTGGTGGCAAAGAACATCGGGTGGGGGCAGCGCCTGGGCATTGCGTTCAACCCGCTCACCTACACGCTCAGGGAGCTGCCCCCAGCCATGGTGCAGGTGGGTGCTGGTGGGTGCTGGTGGGTGCAGGTGGGTGCTGGAGGGTGCTGGTGGGTGCTGGTGGGTGCTGGTGGTGGGGCGTGGTGGGGCATGGTGGGGCGATGTGTGCTATGCAGGATCATAAGGCAGCGGTTGGGCATCACTTCCAACCCGCAGGGCAATGCTCAGTTTCGGTGCAGATGAGGCTGGGGGAGTGCTGTGACTGGCATGCACGCTTCATACATAACTTATGGCGCTTGAGCATCACCAACCGCTTCAGTGGCACATGCTCTCCATGGTGCCGGTGGGCCTAGGTGTGCCATGCTGGTAGCCTTCTGTTCTGGAATACAGTGTCCTAGGTACTCTTCCATGTCCCTTCCGTCCCTCGTCCCCTCCCCTCGCCTTTCCTCCTCCCAGGGCTGGCAGGGCCCCACAGCATCAGTGCAGGGCCATAAGTTCATGGTGGACTTAGGCTATTGTGTGAGGCACTGTAAACCACTCCTAACTCCTCTTCCCCTCTCCTCACCCCTCTTCTCAACCCTCCCTCTCAGGGCTGGCAGGGCCCCACGACGTCAGTGCAGGGCCACATGTTCATAGTGGACTTTGGCGATGACTACAAGCTCAAGACATGGGACGCGCACACGCAGGCCTGGGCGTGGGTCGGCCAGGTCCGGCTGCCGGCGGTGTCGCACAAGCCGTGGGCAGCGCAGCTTGTCTGCTTCCTGGACCACATCTGTCTCGTTCTGCCGGACAGGTCGCTCGTTATGGCCCCTCTGCCGCCCCTGCTGCGATCATTGGAGAGACAGAGGAGGAGGAGGGAGAGGGAGGGGAGGGCGAGAGGGAGGGGGAGTGGGAGATGGAGTGAGGTGGGAGAAGAGGGGATGGTGGCAGGTGTGGTGGAGGAAGGTGGGGGTGTGTGGGGGGATGTGTGGAGGAGAGAGGAGGGGGGAGAGGGGGAGAGTGGGCACGTCTCATTGGGAGGGGAAAGAGGGCATGAGGAGGAGAGATGTGGGAGGAGCGATGGGGAGGAGGACGAGGAAGATGAGGAGGGGGGTGAGGATGAGGTGGTACTGGTGAAAGTGATACCTGGGCCAGGGGCAGGGGAGAAGGGGTCAGAGCTGGTGCTCACGAATGCCGTGCTGGGCTGCCAGGTGCTCGCCACGTGAATGCAACAGAGTTGGCTGGTGTGCCTTGTTGGGCCATGTTGGTTGAGACATTGATTCAGCACACGTGTGTTTGAGGTAGTTGTCTGCAGTAGAGGCAGCATTGACCAGGAGAGTGTTGCTGTTGGGAGTGAAAAGGGACTGGTCATGCAGTGAAGTGAAGAACCTTTTTTTCTGAAGAGCTGTGTTGTATTGAGTAAATGGCAGTGCAGTGCAAGTGCAACCGTTCACTGGACAGTAGTGTTCATCAAGGCTTTGTCCTGTATATGAGTGCCAAGACACTCGGCATTTCTCTGGAACCAAGTTCTGTACAACGTAGCCAGCGCTTCACTACACAAAAGGGTCTGTTACGAAAGCGAATATAAACATGCAACGAAGCCAGCCAACACAGATACCAAGTGAATGGACCCAACACACACAGGTTGTGCTTGGAGGCCTTGCGCTACGAGGACTTGTCCATGAGCTGGATGGGCGCGAGGATGTTGAGCTTGTTGGTCTCCATGACACACCCGTTCATCACCATCTCGTCCAAAATGAAGTACGCCTTCTCCAGGTGGAACATGATGTCCAGCTCGCACTGCAGGGTGGGATGAGAGCATGGGGGTATGGGGGCATGGGAGCATGAGAGGAGGGGGGATGAGGCATGAGGCATGAGGCATGAGGATTAAGTAGGCATTCTCCGGGTGGAACATGATGCCCAGCCCGCACTGCAACTGCGGTATGATTGAGTAGATGTAGACATGCGGTGGGCGGAGGGGGAGAGCACGGGTAATGGTACCGAGGCAACACCAACAATGACGAAGGAGAGAAGAGGGAAAGAGATAGAGGAGACATGATGGGGGAAAGAGATAGAGGAGACATGATGGGGGAAAGAGATAGAGGAGACATGATGGGGGAAAGAGATAGAGGAGACATGAAGGGGGAAAGAGATAGAGGAGACATGATGGGGGAAAGAGATAGAGGAGACATGAAGGGACAACATAAGGAAGAGGGGACGGGAGAGCGGGGGAGAGAAGACTACAGGGAGCGGTAAGAGAAAGAGAGAGGCAGTGGGTCTTGAGCAGCTCACCACGTGGCCTGGCACTCACCACGTTGCCAAAGTATCGGTCCATGGTTTCCACAATGCAGTGAATGAACTCCAGCACCGCCAGCTCGTTCTGGCAGGCGGGGAGTGGGGGGGAGTGGGGGCAAAGGCGAGAATGCGGAATCACAATAGGTGGCGGGCAGCAGCACGATGCTGTGAATGAACTCTGCCAACACTGCCAACACTGCCAACACTGCCAGCTCGTTCTGTCGGCGAACGGGGGGAAGGGATGAAGACAACGGACGGGGGGAAGCATGTTGAGTGAAAGACAGAGCGGATCAGGGAGAGAGGGGGAAGAAGAAGGGGAGGGGGGAGAAGAGGGGGAGGGGAGGGGAGGGAGGGGGGAGAGGGGGACGGGGGCAAGAGTGAGGGGATAAATCTGTAGTAAAAAGAGACTTGGGCTATGAACCGGTGGTGATGAGGACATGCCAATCTTACCTCTTCGCCGTCCACGCCCACTAGGAAGAAGAGTGACGCATAGCGCCGGTAGATGACCTTGTAGTTGCGGTGCTCCACAAACGAGCACTGCCCAAACGAGGATGATCACAACACATTAGGAATCACGACAACAATCAAGCCTGAAATTCACAATATCCCCGTTAATGGCTACCTCCTTGTACTCACCCACCTATAACCTCTCCCCTGACCCAACCCAACTGGCTGCCTCCGTATCCTCCCCACGGCTTTGTCACTCCACCCTTCCCGCTTTTTCCGTACCGGCTCTCCTCATCGCGCGTATACTATCCTCCTGAGAGGCGCCTCAAAAGTTGCGTCCGTTTCCTCCCAACGGCTCTATCACTCCACCACACCCTCGCCGCTCTTTCCGTACGCGCTCTCCTCCCATCGCGCTTATTATATCCTCCCCCTGACCCAACCCCCCACCTACCTCCACCTATGACCTCTCCCCCAACCCAAACCTACCAGCAGCTAACTCTGCATCCTCCCAACGGCTCTAACTCCCCACCCTACCAGCTCTTTCTGTACTGGTGCTCTTCCCATGGCGCCTCAACCATCCTCCGCTGGCGCCTGCCGCGTCGCGACGTTAATCACATCCAGCTTTCCACGCTGCGCCACGCGTCGCGTCGCCAACGTCCAGCCCCATGCTTACCTCGCAACATCGCATCCCACCTCCCCCGCATCCCACCTGCTGCTCAGATCGCGCGAGGCACTTGCGCACAATTTCGCCTTCTAAGGCGCGCCGCTCCTCGAGCCGCATGTACTCATAATATTGCGCGACGCGGGTTTGGCCCTGCTTGTTGACCAGCAGGATGAAGCGGATCGTCATCGCCGCAGTTCAACGGCTGGCTGACGAAGCGCGGTCACGCAGATGATTAGACAACCACGCTGGCAACTAAGCGGATGAGTCGTTACTGCCTACACCGTGAGCTGCTGCTGTTAGTACCCAGACGCGTCCGACCAACGGCGTCGTCCAGCTGCAGGCCGGCTTCGGGTGGACGAGCGAGCAATACGCCTTTCAGTCGCGCATCGTTCAACGCCACTCTCGACGGTCGTCCCTAACTGCGGCCCCGCGTTGGTCCCCTTTCAGCTCAACGGTTGTAGTCACCGCACCGACTTGCACCGAGTTAAAACCGACAAAGGAGCTAAATACCACTACGGACCAGCACGACGATCTGGCAGGGTTGAACTGAAGGACGCGAATACGCGCTGTAATCTTGTTGCTGGTGCGAACGCGAATACAGATGCGCACAACTACACATGGGAATGGCTAAACGAAGGGTCTATAAATAGCCATTAAATTAGACTAATATATCACCCCTAACCCTGATCATGGTAGTTATTCTCAGAAAGCGGGGGTTAATAAACCATTAGATCTATCAGGAACTTTCTCTAGCTTACACATAAAGGCATCTGTGCTAGATCCTTCCCCCCAATAGTGCCTGAACATTTCTTGTTCAACTTCTCAAAATTCTTCCGATCACCTCCGAAACTGCTGGCATAGATGTTCATACACGATGTGCCGGCTTTGAAGTACTTCATCCTTCCTGTGCCACATCCACCCCTTCCATATGTGAGATACTTGTTAAGATTATATGAGTTATATATAATTGATAGGCTTGGTAGTTGTTACTGAACCTTTCTGTAGAGGGTACAATCCCCTCCTTGTACCCCTCTCTCTTCCTAATCGAAACTCTTCTTTCTCAAAATTTCTCCTCTCGTTCCTAGATCTACATTCCTCCCGCCATTCCATGGCGGCCTTTCCTAGTATCCTAGCTTCCTAGCCAAGCTAGTGTCATAAGTTTAAGAAGCTAGTGTCCTAAGTTTGAGATGGTATCAGAGCCACTCGAACCTTGTGGGCCTGCTCCTCACGCTTCCGCTGCGTGCTTACTCTCTCTCTCTCTCTCTCTCTCTCTCTCTCTCTCTCTCTCTCTCTCTCTCTCTCTCTCTCTCTCTCTCTCTCTCTCTCTCTCTCTCTCTCTCTCTCTCTCTCTCTCTCTCTCTCTCTCTCTCTCGCACTGCCATGGCGGCCGTGTCAAGCTGCTGGGGCCGCGTCGTCGTGCCGCTGGCCGCGTCGTGCTGCCGCGGCCGTCGCGACGCGCTGCCGTGGCGTTGCGCTGTCGCGGCGTCCACGTCAAGCCGTGGCGTCGCGCTGTCGCGGTGTCTACGTCGAGCTGTGACGGCGCCGTCGACGTCCAGCCGTGGCGTCGCGCTGTCGTGCCGTCGCTTCCGCCGCGCATTTCTCTCGTTAATGCCTTCCCGCCGTGGTGGTCATGCCGGCCTGTCATGGCGGCTTCGTCGTGCGGCCGTCGCATCCTTGACGCCCTGCCGTGGTGGCGTCGACGCTTTGCCGTGGCAGCATCACCTTGCTGCCGTTGCAGCATCGGCGTGCCGCCACAGTGTCGACGCCGCGCTCTGGCGGCATCATCATGCTGCCGCGGCAGCGTCAATGGGCAGCAGCGGGCAGCACGCCGTCGTAACCGCCACCTGCCCGCCCTCCTGCCAGTAAGCGCCGCGCCACTCATGGCGCGTCGCTGAAGACCCGTCCCTTCCCCCTGCGTCTTCCCTTCCTCCTGTCGCAGCTGCTGTCTTCTGCCCGGACATTGTCACACCGCCGAAAGCCCTCAGCCGCGGCAGACGCCGCCTGCTGTCAGAGACACAGCCGCCTTGAGCCAGAGCTCCGCCGCAACTTGTCGCTGAGCCGCCAGACGCCGTAGGCTGCCTCTCGCCCAGGGGTGTCAACGCTTAGCACGAGGGTCAGATACCCGGCTAAGCACGAGTTTGAGGGTGTGCAGGGTTAGGGGGTGTGTTGGGTGGGTGTGTGACTACCAAGCCTGGGGGGTGTGTTAAGATTATATAAGTTATATATAATTGATAGGCTTGGTAGTTATTACTGAACCTTTTTGTACAGGGTACAATCCCCTCCTTGTACCCCTCTTTCTTCCTAATCAAAACTCTTCTTTCTCAACTTTTCTCCTCTCGTTCCTTGATCTACATTCCTCCCGCCATTCCATGGCGGCCTTTCCTAGTATCCTAGCTTCCTAGCCAAGCTAGTGTGCTAAGTTTAAGAGGCTAGTGTCCTAAGTTTAAGAATACTGTGTTTTCACACAAACCTGCAGCCAGTGGAATAAACAAAGAAACACAGATGTGTCAGGCAGAGCAAATACCACAACCAACACCACATCCCCACACACCAACCCAGATTTGTCACTCATCTCAGCATCACCCCATTCCCTGAAAACTTGCCACAGAAATCAACCGAACAATTCAAAAAAGCCATATCCCAACCAGCCATGTTCTTACCTACACCTGCATTCTTCCAGCTTCACCCAACTGTGAAGGAACGTCACATCTGAGCCCTGGGTTCATTTGGTACTGTAAAACTCTACCATAGTAATCTTATTATCCGTCGCTCAAGTCTTGCACTCCTCCTGGTTCCTTATGAACTTGGTACTAATGCAGCTGGGAACAGTGTTCAGAACTGCAGGGTCCCGCTCGACGTAAAGGGAGCGGGAGACTTTGAGAGCTGAGCAGTCAAGGCCCAGGTTGAGCGGCGTCAAATCGACCCGGGTTCCAATGAGGAAGGTTTCAACTGAGGAGCAGGTGTCTTTCTGGCAGAGGGAGTGGGGAGAGAGGGGGGAGAGAGGGAGGGAGTGGGAGACAGTGAGAGAGAGGGCAAGTGGTGGGAAAGAGGGCACTGCCATCAGAGTGGATGGAAGTGTGAAGCACGAAAAAGGAGAGAGAAAGAGGGCAGTGCCTTCACAGTAGCAGCTGGAAATGCGAAACAGTGAATCGTACAAGCATGATTGCACACTCGTGCAAACAGTGAATCGTACAAGCATGATTGTGTTGAAGGACTAGGAACGGTAGGAAGCCATGAATGTCGTGAAGGTTTAGCTAGGAGAGAAAGCTACGAGAGAAAAGAGGGACAAGAATAGAAGGGAGAGGGATACAGGGAGGGGTTGTCAAACATATGTTGTTATGTGCTTCAAAAATTGTATAGGTTTGTACCATAGAGGGTACAACTTGCTAGGTTATATTCCCCTGTACTCAGTTGTTCTAGTTATTCTTTCATTCGGACATAGATCATATTAGCTCTGCTTTGTGTGTGCTGTATGTTGATGACTCTAGTGTGACTGGTTCTTATTACCCCTTGTTTTCTAGTGTAGGTGTGCCTAGCCTAGACCCCCCTGCTGCGTCTGGTGTAGGACCTGCTGCCGTGTTTAGTCTTGGTTCTTCCCTCGCTGCTCCAACGTCCGCCGCCACTGCTGCGCTCTCCTTCACCCTCGACTCTGGCACGTCCCGGTGTTTCTTCCGCGACTCCACTACGCTGACGCCGCTCGCCGCTCCTACCGCAGTCTCTCTTGCCGACCCCTCCTCTGGCCCGATCGTCGCCCGCAGTTCCACCACCCTTCCCTGTCCAGCGGCTCCTTCGGGCTCCCTTACAAGCGTGCACATCCCCTCGTTCTCCAGGAACCTAGTTGGTGTTGGCTGCCTCTAGGACCTTGGCGTCACCACTACGTTCCTTGGTTACAAGTGGTTTGCTGTCTTTACTGAGTCCACCACTGGTGCTCCCCTCACCACGTTCCCCCGGGACCCGGTGTCTGGTCTGTTCACACTGGACACCGCGCCCCCCCCGGTTGGGACCCTTCCTCAGATAGATGTGTCTCCTCAGGTTGCTGCGGCCTGCTCGTGTCGGTCGCTCACTCACCGGACACTCCTGTGGCACCACCGTCTATGTCACCCTGCGCTCCCGCGTCTGCGTCACAAGTCACAGCACGGTTGTGAGAGTACGACCCCGTTACACTAATTTCCCCTTTCCATATTTCCTTTCTATTTCATTCCCCTTTCACTCCTGATTCATTTGGTCTTTATCTCATCTCATTTGGTTTCCTATTCCTCATTTTCCATTATCCTTTGGTTTATCCTGTTATTATAATTATATCACCGACCAGGCTCGGGATGTACTGGCGCGCTATATCTAGCGTAATCCTGCCGTAATCCCTTAAAGCCAATAGCCTCGCGTGGCTATACGCATGGTGATTCTATTTCTAGAAGGGTCTATTTCCTTTAGATAGGATAAACGTGGTTACCTGATGTACTCTGGAAGTATAAAAGCGCCTTGTACTGATTGATAGTGCAACATTGAGCAAACCTTTCCTCGACACATTCGATCCTGTGACACTTGGTAATCAGAGCCAAGGTTTCAGCTCAACGCTTAACCGCTGGGCCCCTAGGAGCACGCGGAGGATGGAGTCGAAACGTCAATTCCTGTAAGTACAATGCACTTTCATTTAAGTTTCGTCTCACCTCTCGCAGTTGCACCTGGGGTCCCCTTCGAAGGCGAGATGCCTCGCCGACCGTTCGATGGACTGCATCGACGGTGCCGATTTTTCGCGGGGGCAAACGGCCTCGACCTGGCGAGCGCGTCAATTCCGGCGGAACACTCCCTGCGACATTCGGAGAAGGTCGCAGTTCGCCACGACACTCAGAGTTGCGCGGAAATCTGCACAGCTGCGACCAACGACATCCGTCCGATGGGGATTCGACGCTTCAGATCGACCGAGGCGAAAACGAAATCCTGCTGAGCGAGTTCGAGTTTCGGCGCGAATGGGAACGAGACCTTGTAAGCCGCGAAATTCTTCGGAGCGTTGGATCGATCGACAGCCGACATCGACGACCGAAAATTGCTGCAGGAAACGAGTCGACCCGTGCACCGAAAGCTGCTGAACGCGACTCAGGAATGTCTTCAGATCGCTTGGAGTTTGGACCGTCGGATCGACTTCTACTTCAACGGACGAGATGGAGCGCGGCTACTGCTGAAAGGGAGATTGACGCGCAGAACCAGAAATGAGCTGCTTTCGACACCCCTGCCAACATCAGGACAACCAAATTCGGATTCCTCCATTTGGTTACGAATTTGGCGCGCAAATCATTTGCAGAGTCAGAAATCTGCCAGAGTATTACCTACTTGGTAATAGCTGCAAGCAGAAAACTGACAGGAGAACGTGGATCGTCGGATCGGTGCGGAATCAACGGCACGAATGCAGCAGAGTCTACACTATGGAAAATCATCATCATGGAGACAACATTTGTGACCAGAAGACTGCACAATCGACGCATCTTCTGACTGGTGTCGATAACGATCGAGTTATTTTGACGGAGTCATCTTCGTTAAAAATGGATCGACATCAACACAGCGAGATCTTCACCCAGGAAAAACAATGGAGCTGCGTGAAGACATGTTCTCCATCCACGAGACACTTCTTCATACAAATTGATCGACAAGCTATGGGATTGCAGAGAAGTAGCCGTTTTCTCTTGCAATGCTCCCAAGTTCAAGTTGCTGCGAAGGAGCAGATTTCGTACGCAACGACGACGCAGTGAACCCGTCTCGTCAAGGCCAGCGAGACACTACTTCGTAACAGGAGCTGAACGATTCGTCTTCATCAAGAATCTCAGCCATCCGAGGTGATTGATTGGAGCAGTCTCAACATCGACCTCACGAGGCGACACACCAATCATGCGTCGCGATTCCAGGTGTTAATGACCTGCGTGGAAGAAAATTCCGTGCACGTCACGATGCTTGACAGATTGAGGAGTAATTAACCTCTAATCCGGCAAGTACTCGCTCACTAGCGACCCTACGGCACATGCATTGGAGGCGATTCTACCAGAAGCCGAAGCGTTACAAGCACCAACGTAACTTCGACGATGCAGGAGAACGTCAAGCAATACGAGGTGTCAACAAATGAGGGAGATGCGGACTACTACAACACGATCACGCGCTCTACCGACCGTACATCGGAGGCACGGATGAGCATACCAGGAATTGCTACCCGTGGATACATTGAGGGGAGAAGCAAATTTCATTTCACACCCTCAAATGAAACAATCACCGGCAGCAATGGAGCAACACATGTGTACCAATGTGCACGTGTTCCTGGTAGTTACGCCTGTTACACCCATCAGGAACACTCTACTGGGAAGGGGGAGTTGATGGATTCTCCTTCAACCGGTACGAGTTAAGAGAATTCTCTGCAGCAGCTGCCGCCGTCGCCATCGTCGCAACCGCCGCCGCCGCCGCAGCAGAAGACTCGACACAACAGTCATATCCAAACCCTGATGGATAATTCTCCGCTCAATGGAGAAAACGCTGGATTATATTCCAGTAGATCGTAAAGTCCTGGTCAGGCACAGTCCTATGATTTCCAGCTAGTGGGAAGGAGATACCACTATGCGAGGGAACATCATGGCAATGCCATGTACCCTCAAGAGCAAAAGATATTTGCTCTCATGAGGATGGGAGGACTACGGTACTCTACCGGTATACAAGTCCTCATGGCCTATGGCTTTCCTTAAAGTCATAAAACCTGCGTCGCAACCAATCCATCACCAGCACCAACTCCACGGAAGCAGATAGGTGTGGAATGGAGCGCCGACGCCACTCCGGATAGTGGACTCCGCGTATCTCCAACAACACCCCTGTTTGCCGAAATGGAGCAGACTTCAACACTGATGCTGGGTAGCTGAGACATCTTCTACATCAACGCTACTTCAAGGACAGTGACAAAATGAGACAACACATGATGGCACCAGAAGACCTATACCAGTATGTGCGCCCAGACACCGATGCCTACCGATGGCCTCCGTGCTAAACTGGAAGCGCACAAGGTCATATTGGATTGGCTGTCACCAATGCTAATTTGGAAATGGGAGAGGATTACTTGGGAATACCCGTAACGTTCCCAGATATCCTAACCCATCACCATGGGATATCTACGCTAATGAGATTCCTTGCTTGAGCAACCACCGAGGGAAACTACTTGGCGCCGATTCTGGAAGTTACCAGCTCCGCGTTTATGGTTCCAACCCCTCGCATGGTTTTGAACACAAGGGATACGCTGAGCAGCACTTCGCATGCGCTGTTGTACTCAAGGCAATGTGAGTAGCAGACCGCGTGGTGGACAAGGTTACTACTAGTGATTCTGCTCTCCATTCCCGCAGCACTATAATGCTGAATGGGTACGACTCGCGACAACACCAAGGCATGGACCAGCATTCGACAGAAGCTGCATGTAACGGATACAACACTGCTACAGAAGCCGTACTACGACACGACTGCCATACCACCACCACTTGGTGATCTTCACACGTGGACCAGATGCGGGTAACAGCATTCACGGATCGGACAACATAGCCATTCATCTGCACGTTACAGCACACTGTTCCATCCGCGTACCACCTACAGTTGCAACCCGCTTACACCACAACAACCGACAAATCCATTTCATCGCCATCGTCCACCATCTTGTACATCGAC